GCAATAATCCCCGTGAAGCCGTGGTTTACAGTGAATTTATAACAGCTAAGGGGCGTTGTTAGGTACAACACAAAGCGGAGTAACCCCCTTAGCTGTTATAAATTCACTGTAAACCACGGCTTCACGGGGCTTATTGCTTTTATAAAACAGTTATTCCATATACATATCACACAATAAAACGGAGCAAATAAAGTGTAATGATATTAATAAAAACAGTATTCTTCCACCAAACAATGTAGCTCCTCAGAAACAGTTGTGGTTGCAACAAAGTGGTTGCCGAGCAACAGACAGAAGTAAACAAAGGTGTATGTTACTTTGTAGAGTAATTTACAACAGCTTCGAACGCGGCTCAGCCAATCAGAATCAAGGACCGGAACTATCTGTTTTATAAAAGTTTTTAGACATATTTGAGATGTTAATGCAGATGAGTGTAGAGTTGTTGTCTCTGAATGACTTCATTGTAAATCTCCTGAGTGTCGGCGCTTGTAAGGAGGCGCCTGACGGATCGATACTCCGTTAAGAGCCTGATACTGTAGCGACAGACTGCGTGTCTTCTGCTTTCTACAGTAACAGCTCGAGTTTGATCACTTGTGTAATAGTAGTTTAATATGGGTCAGTTTGTGGGATGGTTGTGTATTAATAAATCAATAATAAAAGGATACATTTAATTTATAATGTCTTAAATCTCATTTTGTAAAAAAAAAAAAAACACCTGTGGCCGGTTTGAAGTGTTCTCCTCGTGTTTGAGCGCAGGCCTAACGCCTGTGCATTCAGCTTTTATCAGCTCTGCCGGGGAAGAAAATAGACCTGGGCTCTCGTCCAGAATCGCAGGCCTGTGTGGAAACCGCACCGCTCCAGAGCTGGTTTATCAGCCGTCACAATGCACTTTATCTGTAGTTTGCTCTCCTGTGATAGAAACGAGGGCTTGCTTGTGTTTGATTTGCGATGACGTGCATGTGAACGCGTTACATAATCAGCTTCACCCGTGCAATGACAGCTGTCATGTTTAAACCCTCATAATGCATGCAAAATCTGTATGTTTTCACATTCCGCGAAGAATCTTAGTATTTACTTAATTTTTTAAAAATAAACCCATATTGTATCTGATCAGCAACCTCTAATTAATGCATAAATGTGAAGGAATTTATAAATTATTATATATTTTTTTTGCACTTGAAATTTCAAATTTTGCATAAACCACACTGGAGGAAAAAAAAAATATATATATGTATATATATATATGTATATATATGTATGTATGTATGTATGTATGCATGTGTGTGTGTATTTAATTATTTACTAATTTTTTGCAGTGTTTTTAAGTGATCACTCCAGCTTGTCTGCGTGTTTCAGGCCGTGGTTTTCTCTCTGATCTCTCACAGATTGCTAAAATGGGAGGAGAGCAGATGCAGCATCTGAATAACTCGTCTCCGGTCGTCGATGCCTCGCTGTACGGCTACGGAGGGCAGAAACGCTCGCTGGACGAAGGAGGTACCTGGGGGTTTTGTGGTTAGAATTGTCTGCTAAATGATTAATTGTCAACATGAGTTTTGTCACCAGTGTGCGATCAGTCACGTCTGAGTAATACAGCAGATACAGGACAAATGTGAAGTAACCCGGAGGTTAAAATCAATGCAGGACTTTATGAAGCGTTGACCTTTGACGGCGTTTTTCTGCACGAGTCATTGATTGGTGCTTCTGTTCTCAAACTGCTTGTGAAACGTCAGAAACAGCGAGTCACATCATGGTTAAAAACTGGGCTGAAAGTTAAAGTTAAAATCTGTGGAGAATTTTTTTTTTTTCATTTATTAATGCAATGTTTTTTTTCTGGCCTTAATTGTTATTGGCTATTACTAAAGGACAGCTTTATTAAGTAGCTCGGCATAATATATTTTTTGAATTTGTTTTCTTAGAAACTCCCCTAAGTTATGTTAATTAATTATTAATTATTATATTAATTAATAATTTTTATTATATTAATTAGTTATGCATCTTATTTGTAAACAAAAAGCGTTATCCTTGATACTTACACTTTTTAAATTGAACATTTTCGTGTTTTAACTGAAACCAACATGAATACAAACAGTATTAAAAGTGCCAATGGAGTGATATTAAAAGATATAAAAAATACTTTTCTGCAAATTAATGTAGTTATTCATATTTGACCAATAGAGGATGTAAACGTCACGAATCTCACCAAATCATGTCTTTAATATTTTAGAATTTTGCTATTTCTATTCATTATTTATTTGCAATTCATTGAATGTCTAAAACTTTATTTGTTAAATAAATAAATAATGATAATTAACAATAAACACGTTTTACTGTTTTTAAACTATTATTTAAGTGTATTAAAATTATTTTGAACTATTTATTTAAACTTTTAAACCCCAACATTTTATCAAAGCATTTCTATTGTCTCAAAACTTGAAATATAATATATTCGTTACGACTGCATTTTTAAATGTGCATTTTTTTTTTTACATGTACATATTCTAAGGTTTGAAGCTTCTTCTGCCAGACTGTAATATGATGCTCTGTGTATTTTTCAGTAATAAACACTAATGTATTTTTCCCTTCTGTTTCTGTGAAGTGGCTAACCAGCTCGGTGCAATGGTACATGGTACAAGGTGAGAGCTTTAATTCATTAAAACTCTTATATTTCTATTTCTATTTCTATGCACAGCTGTAATGATTATGTTGTTATGTGTTTGTTTAGGGCTATAATAACAGAAGACTTCAAAGTGCCTGATAAGATGGTTGGATTCAGTGAGTACTGTGGATCACTTCATAAAACAGATATGGATTTTGCACAAACATTTGAGTTTTAGTAGTCTAATAATTAGTGTGAAATATCTAATGCAGCTTCTTTGTGATGTTAGATTTTATTTAATAGTTTATGAATGAATGCTCTAAAAGTGTGCAGATTTTTACTAACAAATCCTGCCGAGATTTATACTGATTTACTCGCATTTACATTTTTTGGTGTAATTAAAAAAAATAAAAAATAAATAAAAATATATATATGTATATATATATGGGTCAAAGACGAAAAAGGGTTTAAACATAAAAACAATACTGCTTTAAATTGTTGTTTTTCCCAAAAATTTAAAAAAGTTTTCTGTTTAATGTAAGTGCACTTTTGTTTTTGTGTTTCCGAGCAAAAAATAAAAATCATACATTTTCCCCTGATTTACAGAAGAGACCCACTAAAATGTCATTCAGTGTAACAATCTCGTCAGGCATATTTACAACAAAAATCAATTTATGACATATTAAAAAAACTAATTACTTTCCCCCCAAATACTAATTAGCTGTAATTTTACTTTTTTTTTTAAAAATGTGCCACTATCCTAGGTTTTGCCCATTTGTCAGTAAGAATTTTTATTCATTTAAAACCCAATAAAATTTAATATGCTCACTTATTCTTTTATATATATTTTAATATGTACAGGTCAGAATAAGCATGTTGTTTGAATTTTTACATAACTATAAGTGTTACACTGAATGACAACGTAACATTATTTCAACCAAATTTTGACATTTTACTCGTAAAAAAAAGTTATTTGAAATGTAGACACTTTACTCACATTTAATGTTTCTATAGACATAAAATCACTTTTTGATGCGGACATCTTAACGTCTTTGGCCCATATATATATATATATATATGTATATAAGCATTTACTGTTGTGTTCTGGAAAACTTGTATCCTAGTATGCACACAATTTTTGGCCTTTTAGAAGCTGAACTCTGTATGTTTATTTAATTATTTTCTTCTTTAATAAAAAGTAGTATGCATGCAGTTTTTGGCCTGATATAAGCTGATCTGTGTGTTTTTCTCGTCCGGCAGTCATTGGACGAGGCGGTGAACAGATCACAAGAATTCAGCTGGAATCCAACTGTAAGATCCAGATTGCTGGTGGTACGTTCTGATCGCGTTACAGCCTTTTTCTGCTTCTACGAACCTCAAGTTTGTCTCGTTTACTTTTACGTCATTCCTCAAAAGAACTCGGAGAGTGAGGCGAATGTGGCGTGGCGTTTACAACAGGCCAGATTTTAAGATGCCTCTGAGTGCATCTGTCTAATGTTGATTTATATTTGATTATAAATGTCTGAAAAACAACACAGTAGAAGGTTATGGGTTTGATTCCGAGGGAAAGCAAGAACTGATGAAATGTAAGCGTCGGTGCAAGGAAAAAAAAGCGTCTGCCAAATGCCTAAATGTAAATTAAAAATTTTATAATAATGAAAATATTAAGATATTATCAAAAAAATATGTATAATGTTATATTGATATATATATACCTGCTTGGTTTTTGAATGAATCAGCCGTTTGAACAAATCAAGTGAGTCAGTGATTCAGTGACTCATTCATAGACAGACCAGTAGGCTTGTTCGAGATGCATCGGCGCTGTGCAGAACGATCGTTATATGACATCAAAGTACCGCGAGAGCAATTCAAATGCATAAAGAGTCGTCTGCTCTATTATGGCTCTCGCGGTACTTTAATGTCATACACCGATCGTTCTGCACAGCGCTAATGCATCTCGAACAAGCCTAGTCACTTGCTTTGTTTCTAAAAGAATAATTTATTTGAATGAACTGAGTGAGTCAGTGATACAATGACTCATTAGTGAAGACAGTCACCTGCTTGTTTTCTGAATGAATCAGTCGTTTGAACAAATCAAGTGAGTCAGTGATTCAGTGACTCATTCTTAAAGAGTCACTTGCTTGGTTTCCGAATGTATCAGCCATTTCGAAAGATACGAATGAGTCAGTGATTCAATGACTCATTTATAGACAGACAATCACTTGCTTTGTTTCTAAAAGAATCACCTATTTGAATGAACTGAGTGAGTCAGTGATACAAAGACTCATTAGTTAAGACAGTCACCTGCTTGGTTTCTGAATGAATCAGCCGTTTGAACAAATCAAGTAAAAGAAAAAAAGAGAGTCCCTGCGTCCCAATGTGCATACTATCCACCCTATCTGCCCTAAATAGTATTGAAAATTACTAATGTCACATTCTATTTAGGATGGATAGTATGCACATTGGGCAGTCACTTGCTTAGTTTCTGAATGAATCAGCCATTTGAATGTTTTGAGCGAGTCAATGGTTCGATGACTCATTCATAAAGACTTGCTTCGTTTCTGAGCGAATCTGAATCGGTTGAGTGATTTATTCAATGACTCACTCACTGAGAAAGTGACTTGCTCTTAGTTTCATTTTGAAAAATATCTGTATATTTTAACATTTAAAAAAGCTGCTTTTTTTATTCAGCGCTTTTCTCATCTAACACAATAGTTTTTTTTTGGGGGGGGGTAATGTCTCAGTCATGCAGTTAAATTGATGTGCAATTAATTAGATTATTTAGATGAATTAATCTGCACATCATGCAGTTAATTAGATTAAAAATGAAAATTTTTAATTGTAAATTAATGTTTGCCCACAGGAGAGGACCGGAGTAAAGATGATCATGATTCAGGA